GCAAACTGAGAAGTGTGTAATGAAGTAATGTATATGCAGTTTTGTGCTTCGTCAGGAAAGAATTATTCTTGCATTTAAACTTGGTAAGTTGTTAGAGAACGGTTATAGGCTTAGGAAGCGTTAAATGGTGAAAGATATTAGGGATTTTAACCAGAGTTGCAAAGTTCACAGTTATGTAAAGTGAGTGGCTACGTATTAGAGTTTAAAAGTCTTTACACTCTCTGCTTCTTCTTTAAAGTGCTATTTGAAGTAGTTAAATGAACAATATAAAATGTTTTATCTTCTTACGGTTAGTAATAACTTAACAACTGAAAGTGTGATAATTTACTACTTAGTGTTTAAGCTTACAATCTGAAGCGTATTCAATTATCATGCGTCTGTAAACTCATCTAAAACGCAAAAAAAATTGGCATGTAAAATTTATTATGTCACTATGTGAAGTGTGTAAACTCAAACCTCAACATGTAAAGCTTAAGTCAGTATGTGAAGTGTGCAAACTTAAACCTCATCATGTAAAGCTTAAGTCACTATGTGAAGTGTGTAAAGTTGAACCTCAACATGTAAAGCGTAAGTCACTATGTGAAGTGTGTAAACGTAAACCTCAACATGTAAAGCGTAAGTCAGTATTTGAAGTGTGTAAGCTCATCACATGAAGTGTATTAACCTCGAGGTCCACCTGCACTAGACGACCATAATTTAGCAATGATAAACTAGAGGGAAGGCAGCTAGTCAACAACACCGACATCCAACTGTTAGGCCATTCTTCACCAACGAAGAGTGGGATTGGCCGTCACATAATAACGCTCCCACGTTTGATAGGGCAACCACGTTCGGCGGCGGGTTTTCCATATCACGACCCAAAGGTAGCAAGTAGAGCGACCTAATCACCACACCATGCTTGGCCGGCTTCTATCACTTAGCAACGACTCACAAAAACAACGAAAAAAAAATTGAACATTTGAAACACTTCCCACTAGGGCTGGGCGTGTCTTAATAGTTATCATGCACGACTGGGAATATGAGTTTTCATAGTTCGAGCTTCCCCCCCCCCCCCAAAAAAAAACGCGCATCACACTTTCGGTCATTATTCAGTCAAAGTCTCTCAAGAATTTGCGGTTGGTGTTGTTGAATAATTACTTTTCCTATAATCTACAAGTCCAAACTAAGGATGGTTATGTGGAGATAAAAAAAAACTCTCCGCGTTTAATCTGTATTGCAGTGTTTTTAAATCGCATTGTTTGCGCCATCTAGTTATCATATAAATGACATTTTCGACATAAATGCCTTTCCTTCAAGTGTTTATGATACAATTTTAGCGTCCTCAAGATGTGATCACAATATGCAAGAACGATTAACAGTGCCTTATGTAGTACAATACAGTATGCTTAAGTAAGAGCTCAGCAATATATTGGAGTAAGAGGTGAAGAAATAGAGAAAGAGTCAATTTACTCCTGGCAGTAGAATCGATTATCCGCTGAAAATAACAACATGAAGGTTTACACGGACAATTTTGAAAAGGGCTTAAAGAAATAATCTCTGTATTTTCTTCACTACTCCAAGTAACAGAAAAAATGACGACTTTTGATACGAGTAAGTGTCATTTAACCTTTAGAAATACCTCATGCATGTGTTTTCAAGTGTGATACAGACCCGTACTTTCAAAGTTCATGTTGCTATATATATATATAGCAATGTCCGTCTGTATGTATGGTGTTATAAGTTGTTGTGAGGAACGGGTGAACTGATTTTGATTGATCAAATTTGGTAAAAGGATTCGGGTGGACTCCTTACAGATTAAGTATAAATGAATAGGCGGTTACAGAACTTTTCATAAGGATTTATCTTTGATGCAAGAGATTGAATTATCCATATTTACTCTAGGCCGTTAAAGTTAACTTGGTAGAGAGAGAGAGCAGAGCTTTTCCTAAGGATTTTCTTTTTAAGCTGCACAATTACACTTTAACTACACGATTATATTTTAACAGCACAATTATATTTTAACTACACAATCATATTTTAACTGCACAATTATACTTTAACTGCACAATTATACTTTAACTGCACAATTATATTTTAACTTCATTATTTTTTCATACATGACGCCTTATTGCACCTCATATATTCGGGCCTAGTAACAAATGGTCCAAAAAATGAAGAATTTCTAGTAAATACGTTTATTTATCAACTCCGGAATGAAATTTTATAATCTTAAATATGTTTTTTAATATCTATTCATTTGAACTTACTTATATAAGTGAATTTTGAACTGCACAAATATTTTTACATGTGCGAAATTTGTAATCAACTGCAGACTAGGAAAATCCTTGAGCGGTTGGATAAACAAACTGAATCTTCATCCTGATCGGGATCGGAGGGGGGGGGGTGTGCAGGTGCGTATGTAGACCCTATTCGACACTGATGTTCTTGTGATCGGCACAGTTAAGTTAAGAGCATTGTTAAATGCTAAACATCGCATAAAAGATGGTTCTGTATTTATGTAAAGTCACTATCATAATTATATTACCCCCATCAGGGTCGTGTTCATTTATGTTCAACGTTGAGTATGTGTACTTGGCATACACTTTGCTTCTTTTCGAATGTTGTCATTCTAACATTACACAATTAGTCTCATATATTCCAACGCTCGTTCATTCGGTAACATATTTAGTACGTACTTAACTTTAATACCTTGATAATACATAGTGAATACACCACACAAGTAATACGGTAAGTCTAGCAGCAGGAGGCTGATTACTATCATTATAGTAAATATGAACAAGGGAGAGTAATTTAGGCTCATTTCCATCAGGTATGGTACAGCGATCTAGCGAATGTACTGGTTAGTTTTTATTTACGTTTTTCCAGAAGTAGATGACCGATCTGTTCAGGTGTGCTGTGCGTTTGCATAATTATGTAAGAAATTTGAACTTGTTCTGTGTGTAACTTTATATGCTGTAGATGCGAAGTGAGTTTTGTATAGCTTGTAATTTATGTTTAATTATGTGTGGTGTAACGTTAATTCAAGCCTAATAAGCATCTTCTATTACCGGCCGTATGTGTTGTTTGTACATCATGAATGTGTTTTTCTGTGATGTGCCTGTGTTATTTTCAAACAGATTGGATAAACGACAAACGCTGTTTCGGATTTTTAGGTCCGATTTTTTTGGACCCAGGAGGATCAAGTATACCTTCGACCTCTTCCTCCCCCTTACAAAAGATTTTTGCTCTCTTTCTTTTGTTATTTTTTATTAGATTAATAGAGGAAATAATAAACAGCATTAATAAAAAGCTAGATAAACAATTTGAATTTGGTGGTCATTTTAAACTTACCGCCATAATGGCGAGATGGAGGACTCTATCTGAGTGAGAAGTTCAGTAATGAAAGGTGTGATAGAGATGGAGGACTCATCTGAGTGAGAATTTCAGTAATGAAAGATGTGATAGAGATGGAGGACTCATCTGAGTGAGAAGTTCAGTAGCGAAAGATGTGATAGAGATGGAGGACTCATCTGAGTGAGTTCAGTAGTGAAAGATAGAGATGGAGGACTCATCTGAATGAGAAGTTCAGTAATGAAAGATGTGATAGAGATGGAGGATTCACCTGAGTGAGAAGTTCAGTAATGAAAGATGTGATAGAGATGGAGGACTCATCTGAGTGAGTTCAGTAGCGAAAGATAGAGATGGAGGACTCATCTGAATGAGAAGTTAGTAATAAAGATGTGATAGAGATGGAGGACTCATCTGAGTGAGTTCAGTAGTGAAAGATAGAGATGGAGGATTCATCTGAGTGATAAGTTCAGTAATGAAAGATGTGATAGAGTTGGAGAACTCATCTGAGTGAGTTCAGTAGCGAAAGATGTGATACCGACACTAAACAAAATTGATGTTGTTGCTAAGTGAAAAGGGTACTTACGAACGGACGACCGACTTGTACGCAACGTTCAAAAACAATGATTACAACATTAGTTCTTTCCCGGCAATAAAACTACACGTAAATCACACGCACACGCGTTGTTATATAATCTTAGCTTATAAATTAGAAAACATCAACGAAATATACGCATATACTACCAAAATAATTACCTTGTTTAATTAATGTCTACGTGTTTATCTGGTATAGAAAGGAATTATCTAGGGTTCTTGGTGATGGTTGTGTTGCTTAGTAATACATTTCGGTTTATATATACGTCCAGGAACTACTATTCACATTGTCACTCCACTGGAAACAACATATATATATACGTCTTGTGTAGAAAAGAAATGTGAGCTATATGAACTTGCGAAAAAACAACAACAATAACCCATTAATAAGATCACGTGCAACGTTTTGATATATAGCACTACAGTAGTATCCAAGTTCAACTCTTGGTGATTCTTGGTCGCGTGTGTCCTAGTGGTAATTATGACGGACTGTGAGTTTGAAGATCTTTGTTGCCACAAAAATGCGCTCCGCACTTTGAGTTCGTGAGTGCGTTATAAGAGTGACGACAGAACCCGCTATTCGACAAGTGACACCCAAGAGTTTGCGGTGGGTGCTGTTGACTATCTGCCTTTTCTCTAGCCTATCAGCTTAAAATTAGGGATGGCTAGCAAATAATAAACTATTATTTTATTTAATTCGAGCTATACTCCTCGTTCCGTTTTGAAATTTTGATCTGATATCAGCCATCACTCATTTTCTTCACCAAATATGAACTAACCCTATTGTTATGATAAATTATTTTCGTTTTTTTTACCAGTTATCAGGCATCATTCGTCTCTTCCTATCGTTAGTAGAAAAACAAAGTTGCGACACACAAATGTTATAACCCAAACAAACGTTACACAATATTCTTCGAAGCACAATTAAAACTGAAAACAAACGATGTAGCGACTATCTTTCTTCCACTGAGGGCGCTGCGTTACCGCATGTAAGCGGCACGTAGAGTAGAGATATATATACATACGTGTATATAAAACGCGGCAACTCCAATCAGCTCAATGACAACCGATGTGGACGCGACAGCTGCGCATAAAACGTGAAGAAGTAGACGTCATATTTCAGCTATCTCGTATTGCAGATTCACTGGAGCATGTATAGCCGTAGGTAGTACATAGAAATCTTACTACCTTCGTTACCTAAGGACAAAACGGTAAGATTTTGGGAATCTAAGACTGACTAAAGATTCTGTTTATTTGCAGTGTGTTCATTATCACGTGTAACCAGAGACAGGAGTACCAAGTTTCCGTAAATAAGTAGAAAACACTATTTTATTCGTCGTCTTTACCATTTTATTACGATTAAAGATGTAGCTACGAAGAAACACTATCTGTGAAAAGATATTTCAGTAAAACTATGAGCAGTGACTATCAACATGGCAGACGTCTTCTCAGTGAGTTTACACGCTATTAGTGGCGGGAACACTTTTCCCAGGAAGACAGCGAACCGGACGGGTAACTTCAGCGGTGATGACGAATGGGGGGAGTCTGGAACACAGAGTCTTCTCTCTCTACTGACAGTGATCGGGACGAGCCTTTCAATTGTCGGTGTTGTATTGGCCTTTATCACGTACACTCTTTTCTCTGATCTCCGTACGGTCAGCGGCACGTCCTTGTTGAACCTGCTGACCGCTCTCTTTCTGTCCCACCTGCTCTCCGTCATCAGCGTGGAGAAGGTGGATGACCACGGACTCTGTCTGACCCTGGCCTTTCTGCTCCACTACCTGTGGTTATCCGTACATTGTTGGCTAACCGTTATGGCCCGAGACATGTTCCACACTTTTCGCGACAACGTCAACCTGCAACTGTCACCGCTAACGGAGAGCCGCAAGTCGATTCTCAAGTGTATTATCTTCGCCTGGGGCTTACCCGGTGCTCTGACCTGCTTAACGGCACTTCTCCACACCAAAGACCAATCTGACAAGCAACCTTTTGTGGTTCCAACTTGCTGGCTCGTCGATAACGTCTCCCTAATTTACACTTTCGTGTTGCCCGCTGCTGTGCTGATTGTAGCCGACCTGGCCTATTTCGTCCACTCGGCTGTCGTAATTCGCTACACCGCTAGCATGCAGATGAACCGCCGTACGGCCCAGAAAATGAGGAGTCGCCGTTACCTTCAGCTGTTCCTCTACCTAAAGCTTGTACTATTCCAGATAGTCACTTGGATGTGCTGTCTGCTGGCCCAGCTTGCTGACTTATTCTCTCTTTGGTTCGCCTTCTCCGTGTTAGCCTCTCTTCAGGGGTTCTTCGTGGCCATGGCATACAGCTGTAACTCGAATGTTTTCCGGCTCTACAGCAAGTCTCTGAAGGAGAGCCGAACTAAGAAGAAGGTGGGTTATGGAACATCAGAAATTTCTCATTCTACTAGTTTAACCCAACTGACGTGGATCCCACCACCAGAAACAGTCTAAATGTTAACAACCGTCTTCTTTCAAACCTGACCAAAGGTTTTATAAGGCCAACTGATTACACACTTTTAAAATTATTAAACTCTAGTCAGCTAAAATACTCAATAGTTTTTGAAATTATTTTGATCAAATACTCTGAACTATAGTCTGAAAATGTCCAATGTTTGATAATAATGGTCTTACAATACACATAATGACTTCTAATAATGTTTTGACCTAATACCTAATGTCTGCTAACACTAGTTAAACCATACACTCAATGTTTAGTAACACTAACGTGACCCTACGTAATGTTTAGTAATATTAATATGACTTACCACGAAATGTTAAACATTGCGACTATGGACAATGAGTGTTAACATTACTTTGAACACGTATCTTTATAACCCCAACTTGGTCGAACAATGATGTCATCAGTCGATTTTAACAGTTGGATCCATCTAACCGATGATAAATTCAGAACTGACTCAAACCTGGCTTTATCAAAATATGAAAAGATTTAGTATGTAAGACCTGTCTGTGATGATATGAACATCAATACAAATAAACTCGTGATATGTCATTGTGTTATATAGTTTGAACCCTATAGGACGTAACTATTGATAAATGTCTTAGTTTTTGTTATATAATCCACGGCTTCCCAAACTTTCTCAGCACAAGTACCTTAACAGTATTGCCTGTTTGTTACGGTTTTCCCCCGAAACTTTACTGTGGGTCCTCAGGGGACTGCTGTCTTCAGTTTGGGATCCTCTAATATAACTCTTAACTTATATTAGTTTTGTCACATAGTTCAACATGCATATCATATTTGTTTTATCTATAATCTATCATCCTTCTTTGTTGAATTACCCACCACTTATAATTTGATTCTTGGATACTCTGTCTTCTATATATTCTTTCCTACATGACCCATCGCTTATAATCTGTTTTTATACACTAGAACTTTATCACCCGTATATTCTTTATTGTATTACCCATCCAGCACTTGTTTCTTTCCTCCCATGTTTTCTTAGTTGTTTTACCCATCACTTAATACTATTTCTTGCATGCTTTATCGCCCATACTCTCTGTTGTATTACCCATCACTTAATACTATTTCTTGCATGCTTTATCGCCCATACTCTCTGTTGTATTACCCATCACTTAATACTATTTCTTGCATGCTTTATCGCCCATACTCTCTGTTGTATTACCCATCACTTAATACTATTTCTCGCATGCTTTATCGTCCATACCCTCTGTTGTTTTACCCATCACTTAATACTATTTTTGCTATGTTTTATCGCCCGTATCCTCTGTTGTTTTACCCATCTCTTGTGTGTTTCTTCTGTAAACTCATAGGTCTTGAATTTTATGTGAATTACCATCAATCTTATCAACTCTTGTATGACCATATCACCTTTATCAACTCTTGTATGACCCTATCATATTTATCAACTCCACTATATGACCATACAAACCATTTCTACATCTTTGTATAACTTTCAACAGCCATATCATCTTAACTGATTCCAATCACATCTGTAGCCTAAACTGAGTGATGTCGGGATAACGATATATGTATATTTTACACGCAGTTAGTAAGTAGTATCTAGAAAACCTATCTATTAACAGTTCAAACAACCTTCAAATAACATGCTTATGAATAGGCATATCTATTACATATACGTCAAGCGTTTGTTTGTTGTCAAATATAATGACTATGAGATATGTGTTATTAAGTACAGAAACATATGTACTCTGTTAGTATTATTGTTGTCAAATTTAGATATGTTCTTTGTAAATGAAATTTTATGGTATAAATAATATCTCTCAAAACAAATGTGTGCTGTAACAACAATTGCAACATTTAAATCTCATTGTTGTAGAAGAAATAACTGCATTGTTGAATAGGAGTAAAAGTGTATCTAATAAAATAGTGACACAAAAAAAAGAGCTGGAGTTTTTAAGTTATTCTCAACTAAATAACTGAAGCGGTAAAATATTAATAGAATGAAAGGTAGAGTTAATAGTTAAGTCACAAAAGTAAGAAGGACGTAAAGTGGCAAAATTAAGGTGAAGCTCATACTTCAATCTCCCTTATCCAGTTAAACAGGACACGTCAGACGGATGGATCACTTTGGAGTGATCCGAAAACTATAACGTTTTTAAATTGGACTTCTGATGCATTATCTTACATTCTATAACTTAGGTGTAATTAGACAACAATAACCTTTCCAAATTGAACTTCTGATGCATTATCTGATATTTTGTAAGTTAGGTGTAATCTGATAACTAACCTTTCCAAATTGGACTTCTGATGCATTATCTTACATTCTATAACTTAGGTGTAATCTGATAATTAACCTTTCCAAATTGGACTTCTGATGCATTATCTTACATTCTATAACTTAGGTGTAATTAGACAACAAGAACCTTTCCATATTGGAATTCTGATGTATTATCTGACATTTTGTAAGTTAGGTGTAATCTGATAACTAACCTTTCCAAATTGGACTTCTAATGCATTATCTTACATTCTATAACATAGGTGTAATCTGATAACTAACCTTTCCAAATTGGACTTCTGATGCATTATCTTACATTCTATAACATAGGTGTAATCTGATAACTAACCTTTCCAAATTGGACTTCTGATGCATTATCTTACATTCTATAACATAGGTGTAATCTGATAACTAACCTTTCCAAATTGGACTTCTGATGCATTATCTTACATTCTATAACTTAGGTGTAATTAGA